GAGCGCTTGCGTGGGTGTCAGTGACCAGCACTGTAAACCCTATCTGCAGCAGCAGTTTGAGGCCGGGGGCAAACACGCAGTCTCTGAGCTTTAGCTTTGTTGCTCAGCCTTCAAGCAAGTAGGAGTATGCAAACCAGCTTCACACAGACGATGCTGCACTCCATGGCACACTGTTCTTCTCAAGGCATTTATATCAACCCCTAAGGAGCTAGTGGCTTGCAAGAAAAACAAACACGTGTACGCTGCTGCGCCACATTTTCTGCTTCAGCACCGGATTTTCAACACACGAGCTACCCGACAATTGAATTTTCCCTTTCGTAGCAGTTTTTCTGCTTGCCTCTCTATTTCCTCGTCGATATGTGTTTGCTGCCAGTGCCGTGGAGCACAGCTCGGGTTGACATCCAGAGTGAACGTGTTGCGGTGGATTGAGCGTCCGGAGGGTGCCTGGCCGGCCGAAACTCCTTGCTATTTAGTACATTTGAGAATTCTCTCTTCAATTGTGCAAGCATCTGCAATTCCTCGGATTTCACGTGGATAGAAGTGCATAAAGCTGCGGTCATCGTATCGTCACCACGGAGTGCATGCGCTTTCCATCGTTTCCTGCATCGCCTTTGCTCTGCGTACGAGCCTCGCCCCTCCTCTTTCCTTGGGACACTACTTCAACTCCTCTTGCTGTGGAGGATGCATATGCAGTTTGGAGAGATGACTGGTGCCTACTGTCAGTGCTTCCAGGCAGAAAGACCTCTATGGTGTCATCGATGGGGCGCAGGCGCTCGCTCCACTGTGCCACCCACGGCATGCCTAGGTCGATGCTCGGACGGCGATGGAAATTTCGCTTTCTGGCTCTTCGTTGCGCAACCATTCCACAATGCGTGCTAGCCAAAAATTTTCACCACCTACCTATATCTCAGCCCAGCCGGTTGCGGTTTGCCTCTCTCCCGGGGAGATATTTCCTATGAACCACTGTTACAGAACTTATGGGTGAGGCTCCTGGGTGTTGGACGGTGGCCTTAACCAGCATAGAAAAGTATTTCTAAAATAAAGCTGCGCTCCTCTTTTTTTATTTGCAGGTGTACTAGACAGAGAAGCTGAGGGCCTGACGCATATTCGAAGACCAGGCTGCCCCGCGTTAGGTGCTACGCTACTTGCTTTATCAAGGCATACTGTAGCATGAGTTAGCGCAGGAGCCTTCACTTGGCCTCGGTAGGCTGCATGAAAACGCATGCAAATGTTCTATAAATGCATTCAGAGTTAACTCATACAGCAAAGGAATATTTCTTGAAGCTTTCTTTTGTGCAGGCGTGGCGCTGGCTTGTATTACCCGCCTTGTATTACCCGCCGCAACGAGGTGCGCTGCAAACCCGTTTCTTGCTGCCTCGTCGCCGCAACACCCAGGCGCTGAGCTCAACGCCCAGCACGCCTAAGGACAGGAGAAGACGGCCAGATACTTTTGGGAAGCTCTTGCTTTAAGGCTTTAGNTAAAACAAACTTGGATATCACCAGCCAGCTAGCATGGAGAGAGTACAGGAGGCAACTCTAAACCGGCAATGCTGCACAGACCGCGAAAGAGCAGCCCCTCTGGGTAGCAGCTAACACACCACTCACCTGGCAGCGCCTATCCCGCGCTGCCGTTATAAACACAATATATATATCTCCTCTCTCTGATATTTCTAACCCCGGCTACTGAAACGGGTCGCTCGGGTGTACGCACACCCGAAAGTATGGGGGAGCGCTGTGTGTGTAGTCTGTTCTGAGGAGGGGGCGAGTTGAACTAGGGAACTGAAGTAAATTTGTGTTTAAATATTGCATTTGTTCAGCATTTTCGATTTATTTTTAAATTTCTTTGAAATATTCAGCTGCAAGAAGCATTAGTTTTTGCATGCAGCGTCGGTGGGGCTGTGGGGGCGCGGCTCCCCCACATTGGCCCCAAGGCGGTTTCTGTTTGAGGGTTTTGTTGTGTTGGTTGCTGGTTTTTAGGGCCATTTTGGATGAATTTGTGGTATTATTGCCTCTGTCTTCTTTTCTAGTCTCAAGAAAATGGGTATTTCTCGGGACAGAAGGCATAAGCACCGCAAGACCGGTGGGCGGTTCCCTGTTCATCAGAAGAAAAGGAAACATGAATTGGGTAGACCCGCAGCAGTGACGAAACTCGGCTCCAAAAGAGTTCGACCTGTTCGTTGTCGTGGAGGAAATATCAAACACCGAGCCATTCGTTTAGACACAGGCAATTACTGCTGGGCCAGCCAGAGTACGTCCTTTCGCTTCTCTTCTNCCGAGCCATTCGTTTAGACACAGGCAATTACTGCTGGGCCAGCCAGAGTACGTCCTTTCGCTTCTCTTCTTCTCTCTTCTTCTCAGCTTTCTTCTTCTATTAAGAATAGATATATGCTTCAAACAAAAAGCGCTCCTTCTATTTTTATTCATTTCTTTTATCCTGCTGCTGACGGCCTTCATAGAGGTCGCCGCTGCAGCAGACAAACATGCCGCTGCCGTCCAACAGTGCTGCTGCATCATCCCTGTGATTGCATGCATGCATGCATGCAGCGAATACTTCCGAGGTTTCCTTCTTGTGGGATCCTCTCTTGTTCGATTGCAATGCGAATCGTGTTTCCGTGAATTCCTTAGGACGGCCGCTTACCCTGCAATACGCTGTGCTTGTGCTGCTGACATGCAGCATGTGTTCGTTTCATCGAGTAATACGCCAATAGTAATAATAATAAGTGAAAAAAATGTTTGTTTGTGTTTATGGAGCGGGGATGAAATACTTTTGCATGTGTTTCGCTCGTTTTCTTTTTCTGTACATCTGCAGAGGTTGCAAGAAAGACCCGTATTCTGAATGTCGTCTACAACGCATCGAACAACGAACTCGTGCGTACAAATACTCTCGTGAAAAACTCGATCGTCCACATCGATGCGACTCCATTCAAGGCCTGGTAAGTATTTGCTTTCTTCTGCTTTCCTTCCCTGACCCGGCAGTACACGCACGCGCACGCAGCAGCTGAGGTGTACGTACACCTCAGCATAGGGAATCTGAATCGACATGTTTCGTGTGTTTCCGCGTTTAATTCATGGGTTAAATTCATGGGATTTTGTGGCTTTTGTTCATATTCATGTTTTTTGAAGCATTTATCGTTGATTTTCTGGTTTTTTTTCGAAAATTTTTCAGGTTCCGGTCTTACTATGGGCTAGACATCGGCAAGAAGACCCAGGGCGAAGGAGAGGAGAAGCAGCCCTCTAAGCACACTCTCTTTGCTCAGGAGCAGAGAAGGAATAAGGGAGCACCAAAAGTAGATCCTCTTCTGGAAGAACAATTCAACACAGGGCGTCTGCTTGCATGCATCAGCAGCAGACCAGGCCAAGTCGGCCGTGCCGACGGTTATATCCTTGAGGTGGGTGCAGCTCACTTCATTCGTTGCATTTCTCTGTTTATCATTGTAGTTTCTACTTGCTTCGCACTCATCGCCTTTAGCTCGGGTACCCACGAAACGCATATGCAGCATCAGTGCACGTTTACTGCTGCCGCGGATGCAAGAAGAGACAAGAGTAAACAACCCTAGTTCTGTTTCAGCTTATGGGTTCATGCACATTCACCGGGTGTACGTACAGAAACTCACGCAGCAGCCGCGAATCAAAGGGATTGGCGACGTTCTGTCTGTCTGCAATTCATTTTGCAATTTCAGTTCGTCGTTGTTTGTTTCCGGCTAAGATAAACACAGGAGACTGCGGGGTTGTGATGATACTGTTGATGGTTGCATCCATCCCCTTCACACTCCTGTGACATGTATATTTGAGTTGAGCATATATTACTTGTGTTTTTTTTCTGGATGTTTTGTTCATTTATTTAATAAATTAAATAAAAAGCACAGGAAAAGTCAATTCATTTATTAATTAATTACATTTTCTGCACTGAGCTGGCCGTACACTTCACGCTGTATCTGTTGTTTTTTTTTTGTGTTGAATGTTTAGGGGGAAGAGTTGCTCTTCTACAAACGTCGTATGGATAAGAAGAAGCACAAGTAAAGAAAATTTCGTTTATTTCAATCAGAGAGGAGAGGAGATGGGGTGGTCCTTCTGTTCTGTCTTTTGCTGTTTTCCTTTTGTATAATACAACTCAAACTGAGAACGGGAGGCCCCTTAACGTGGCTGTTCATCTTTTTATTGCGTCTTTCTGCTGTCTATACACCTGATACATTCTACAGCAGCAACAGATACAGCTCCAGGCCTTTGCCCCGTTTGTTAGAGCACTAAACAGAGAAATTATATTAAATATAATATAGGGGGCACAGAACAATTCAACAAACATTTTGTCATCTATCCAGGCCTGTA